GTGCATTTTAAGTGTATTTATTTAGTGGTTCATATAATTCTGCTTTTTTTTCTAATTATGTCAGTTTTGGTCCTCCGTACTGCAGAAGCCTGATAATCATACTGTATATTCCTTCAAATCAGGTGCATTGGAGCAGAGAAACAAGTAAAACATGCAGGGCTGCGGCCCTCCAGGACCAGGATTGCCCATGCCTGATTTAGGCCAAGCTGCTGGGGTCAGTTTGTCATTAGCTGTTTAATGTTTACTGACTGTACAACAAATTRCCMCTTGGGRATAATAAAGATTCTTAAACTTGAAATACCATTAGCTTACTGTCCCTACTGTGTTGTCTTCAGCATCATACTGCTGTATGGTTTGCTACAGTCTTTGGTACCTTTCCACTGTAGTTTGTCAAGCAAAAGCTTAATCTTCTATCAACACWCCGGCTTCCGGCACTCTGCTTTAGCTGCTCTGGAATTACAGAGAACAAAAAAAGAAGTAGCACAAGCTTGATGTTGTCCATTGTTGTGTCACAAATAAAATGATGTCACATTTAGATTTGTGCGTTTTTAATACAATCAAGGCAGCACTCTGCTCGAAGCAAACACAACCAGGGCCAGGTTAGACCAGGGGCAGGCCGACTGTGGCCATACCAGGCTGGGTTATGCCTAACAGTTTGAGTCAAAGAATCAGAAACCAAACATTCATAAATTGAGGAGAAGATGAACACTGCACTGACGGTTGCTTCACAATGCTCACTGCTCATTCATTAGGTCAACAAAACGATTTTGTCGTACAACATTGTTCAATAAGTTTGAATTCAAATGTAAATTTATCCATTTAATTCTCTACATAATACATGCGTCTGACATGTTCGAGTAAAGGTTCAGTCAGTTGACTGTGGTTCAAGCTTTAAACCAAAGCTCTTTGAAGTGCTGCTGTCGCTCCGCTTTGATTAGTTTCATATTTCAGTGTTGCTCACAAGTAGGAAGATCCAAGTGATACTGCAGGCAAATGAGGTCCAGATGCAGTCAAAAGTTTACATAAAATGATTATGAATGCCAAGTGCATTTGATTAGGGCTGTTAATGAACTGTTCTTTTTCCATAGTGGAGAGATTTTTTATCGCACAACTTGAAGAATTTTTCAAAACAAGGATTAGGTGCATAAGTTTGATCTTAATGTGATTTTTCTCTAAATCCACATGGTCAAATTAGTACAAGCAGGCGTTTATATATATATATATATATATATATATATACATACACACAGTAGTTTTAATTTCCAGAGTTCATTTGTTCATTTGCATTTTTCTTAACATTTAATGTTCAAATTAGCCACTAGATTTTCAGCTGTTGCTTTGGAAACATCCTTTTTTGTTCATTTGTCTTTTTACACTTGTGTTTACTTATCGCGTTTCTCCTCTTAATGGGTCTCCTCTCACAGTGGAAGTGGTATTTCTCTGCTGATCCTGAAGCAGCGCTGGATCTCCTCCCTCCAATTCCAGTCTCTGAGCGAGATTAGCGCAGGCAACGTTTACATCTTCAACAACAGTCGCCTCTGCTTCTACAACACCGTCAACTGGACAACGCTCTTCAGGACCCAAAGCCAAAAAGTGCTCATCCGCAACAACCAGGAGCCAAAAGAATGCAGTGAGTGTTGGCAATTTTTGGGTCTTTTATTTTTTTATTGTCCACCTTTGCCTTTGAATGCCAGGCTTTTGTTTCTTCTCTTGTTCTGTTCTGTATGCTAACATGTGCAGAAAGTACCATATTTATTCAAGTATAATATGTAAAATTTAATCCATAAAATCATCCATAAAGTTGGAGGGGTAGTATTATACTCGGATAAATATTTTTGCTTATGTATTTTAACTGA